ACTCATCCTAAAGACACTTACATACACTGAGACTAGAGTCTGGTCCTCACTTAACAATGCAAACTCTTTAGTTTTCATATGACTAAATTTAGCTGAAGATAGAATAAAGAGAATGATTCAGTGGTGTTAGTACTGCCTAATCAAGAAATAGATATGTGGAAGTTCTACTTCTGGTAGCAAGGCAAACTACTTAACACAATCAGTCTTATCTTTGAGCACATTAGTCTTGATTGAGGTACTTATGATAGAGCTGTAAACAAAGTGATAAACTTTGTGGGGTTTTTTTCATGTTTCCAGGAATGCCTCTTCTGTCTGTTGTCTGGAATCTCCCTCCACCCCCAAATGGTAACAATGAAATAATCTCTTATTTTACATAACACAAAGGCAGAGTGAGGTTTCCACCACAGGTTTCAAAAGAAGATCCAAATCTTTAAGAGCTTTGGCTTAGTCGTGCTGCAGACTCTGTGGATGCAAGTGATCTGAAAATCTGCAGTAAGAATAAATGTACGTGGGATACTCTGTTATAACTGTTTGGTGAGTATATTAAAGTAATTAAAAAGGTGAACTGATGTACTGAGTTATGTAGCAGAGCATCATCTGGCCCAAAGCATGTTTCAGCAGAGCTGTAGAAGAGCAGAGCACATGCTTTGTGCTACTTTACCAGCTTGCACTCTTTGTGTGTAGCAAGTGAGGCTCAGGGTCGTCTTGATTCAGAGGCTGTACCTTTCTGTTTTAATAATTTCATTTTTTTTTTCTGTGATTTTGTCTCATAGCTTTTCAAATGCATGCAAATTTTTGATATCCATAGCTGCTGTGAGAGGATATTTCCTGAATGTGCCCTCAGTTGCTTGTTTGTTTTGAACTGGGATTTTTATAACTTAATTTCATGCCTTTTAACTTTCTCTCCCTCTTTTTTTTTTTTTTTAAATACAAAATTGTGATGCATCAGCCTTTGCTCACCTTTTTCATAATGCTTCTATCATACTGGCCCCATAGCAAGGCTATATGTGGTAGCACTGTGATGTTTACTGTTTTGTTCTCTACTCTTTCTATCAGCTCTTAATATTCTATTTTCTTTTACGATTATTACTGGGTCTGCACACGTTATTATCAAAGGCTATCACATTTCAAAGATGTTTCTTCTGGGTTGTATTAGCCATTCTGGAATCTATGATTTCCTACACAAAGTTACTATTGCTTTTTGTTATGTAAATACTGACATTGCACTCATTTGTACATTTCACTTTCAAGTTTATTGTCCATTTCTTCAGCATCACAAACACTGTTTGCAGCACATCGCAGAAGATTGTGAATTGAATAACACTGTCATCATAAAATTTTACCATGGTTCTGTTTCACTCTTCTGTTTCCTGTATGGAATGTGCAGGCCTTAACAGAATTTTGTGAGACTTCCTGGTAACTTTCAAGAAAATTGACTTTAAATTCCAAAATACTATATTATAAATCTGTGTATTGTTGTTTTCTGTGCCTTATTTTAGGAGTTTTCTATTTCCATTGTATGAAATTCAGGTTTAATAGTTCATAGCCCTCAGAAATCCTGTTAAAAATATCCTCTGTTTTAAGTGAACAGTTATACCTCAGTGTAACTCTCTTAATCTCATGTAATGATTTCATTCTTTATTCAATTAGAATGCTTAGTCCTGGTCTTATTGATTTAGTTACCAATCCTTTTGTTGTTTTTTAATCTTTTCTACTGACACTTGAAGACAATGTAAAACAGTCTTTTTTTTTTCTGTAAAGGACTCTGATACAGAAAGATTTACAAGTTTGTATTTGCAGAATGCTAATGATTCATTTTGTTTTTTTTCTCTCACAATTTGATTTTCTGAGTGCTCATTTAATCCCTTTTTTATGTGTTGGCTCTGCAGAGTTCTGGGAGACTTCCTGTTTTTGATGTTTTTCTTATGACGTGGGCTAAAATGTTCCTTGTTTACAGCAAAAAATGTTCTGGGTTGCTTTGTAACTCTGTAAGTAAAATTTAACCTCATCTAGTTATCTATTTCAGCATTCAATATATTTTAAAAGATAAACTTTATCAAATTTAATGCACTGATATTTTTCCTAGCTTATCTGTAATGAGGTAAACTATATTGTTGTGTATTGTTTGTCAATAGCAGCTACTACTTTGTATCACCAGAACAGCTCGAGATAATTTTTTTTTTTTTTAAAAGAACCAAATTCTGAATATATTCATGAAAAATATAGCAAAAAAGATATCTATCTTTGTGATACAATTGGTTGGGCAGTATCACAAGTGGTAGAGGTTGGAAATCTATGGACAAAGAGACCATGGACTAAACATAGATGAAGGAAATTTATAGGTGGGGATTGACAGACTGCGTTGGTTGGCCAACTGCCTCGAGTGTGGTCTTTGAATTAAAAGCAAAGAAAAAAGAGTTGAGATGCCTCTGGTATTTCCTTTAAGAATATCTGGTTTCTAGGAATTAGCGAAGATCTGTTGTGAGCCAAGTTATCTTACTGCTAGGTAGTTGTTTCAAATTCTTGTATTGACCTGTAAATAAAAAATTCTGATCTTACAGATAGACAACATCAAGGGGTCAAAGAAAATGCGTTTATTCTGTTTTGTCCTAGTAAGGATTGGATTGACTCTGGGAGATGGTGTGGCTCTAAATAAGTTTTGAAGACTTCAATGCCTTAGCATCTTAGCAATCTTAGGGAGATTGCTTTTTCTATTACTTTTGAAACCTTGGCTACAGAGATTTTCTACCTATGCTTAGTTGCTCTAATGATTAAACAAAAGCTAATGGCATATGTAAGGAAAAGTTGGTAATTGTTTGTTCTTTCAGATGCACAGAGTAATTGTAATGTACAAATACAGCTGAAGTTTCCAAAATACTGCACAGTTACACGTTTCTGGGAACAACAGCCAGTACTCAGAAGAAAAAAACTGACTGCAGATGCCAGAGCAAAAAAAAAAAAAATTTCTCGTAAAAATAACAGCTATGGGAAATGTAATGTTCCAGAGAACATAGACTTTCCTGAAGCTGAAGCTGAACACCTGTTTTGCAGGATCTCACATAGAAAAGTGGACTGAATTAAATTTGTCTTCTGAAAAAGAATGAAAGAGTGAAACAGGCTTCTGGGGATTCAGCCCTTGTTTTTTACGATCTTCTGAATTTGCCAGTGGTGCACACATGTGCATCCAGATGTTGATGCATTATGTGTGATCTTTGTCTTCAAGAAAAAGAATACAAAAACATTCTAGTTCTCAAGCAGCATTTGATCCTTGAAATAGGGCAGTGCACAATGCTAATTGGAAAAAAAAAATTCTTAAAATGATACTGAAGTCCTAAAAATACCTAACTTTGCATTCATGTATTCTACCACAATTCATGCCTGATGCCACAGGAGGTTTGATTAAGCATTAAGATATTTGGAAAATGTGTGTGCTATCCCAGCACTGGGCATGTGCTTCTGAAACACTTGAGAAGACTGCAGTTGAACTGGGATTTGTTGGTGGCTTTTGGTTTAGTTTTGTTCTGCAGATGGCAGTTTCATTCATTGGTCATGTCCTCAGTAGTGAGCATATGGATTTAGAATGATGGCACAGCATGAGAACCTTCTTTTAAACAGTTGCTTGTGTTGTGGTTTACAAGGGGTTCTTAACACTTCCACAAAATGGGAAGCTTACTGACTAATACTTACTTAATTTTGGAGGAGTTTTTGGATGCTAACTCATATGACTAAAAAACTCTTTCATTAATTTTGGGAGAAACTATTACATAATGTCAATTTTTTGGATGCGTTTGGCCATTTTTTGTTGTTTTTCATCAGATTGTCACCTTTCACTATTTCAGATGTTACTATACAAATTTATTGCGATAGCAACGTGTTTTGACTTCTGACTCCTCCTTTACCCCTATTGTAGGCAGTAGGTTTCCTTTCACTTGTTTGTGTCATCTTATGGGTGTCATCTTTTTTCTCTCCTGTGGTTGACATCCATATGTTGTCTGAATTTATATTACAAAGTGATACAGCACAGATTAAATATTTATGTATGTCTTCATACATTTTGTTGGGTCATGTAACTGACACTACAATGCTTATTTTCACTCTCAAATAAGGAAAATTAACATTTTAACACAAATTCAACTGTAGCTGCTTGTCAATTATCATGGTGATTCTTCCTTATTATATTTTGCAACTTTATGGCTGTAGACAGAATTAGTCTGTTTCTCTTTTTTTTTTTTTCTTTTTCTCATTCTTTTCTTCAGCTGCAGTTAGTTTTCAGTTCCTCCAAAGCAGTATGAGCACATATTTGTATTTTGACTAATCACTTCTATTTAGAAAAAAAACAAAAACCATAATTAATTAAAATCCAGAAGAACAATTTGAAGATTTGCATAAAAATAATGAGTACATTTTGTGCATTTGGCACAGACTGTTTCATTTGGGTGTAATAGAATCATCAGTGATATAATTCTGTTCCTGAAGATATTCTTTAGGGCCAAAAAAACCCCACCCCAAAATGGATTGTATTCTTTTTATTTTAGTCAAAGGACACAAGGGAAAGAAGTGATGTCACATTGAATGTAGTATTAAAAATATGTTCATTTTTAAGTGGATCCTTACTATATGCATGTGCACAAATACTTTTAACTCGCAATTTGTCTTTACAGTTCCTTTCTGCCAGAGCTGTTGGCCTGTTTTTCACCATGGTACATCTGAATTCCCTATTTCATATATATCCTAGCACTTTGGTGGTGGTTATTACCTTTCTACAGGCTTTTAAGCCTTAGCCCAAGTGGTCATAGTGCTCTGCTACGAACAACAGCTCTTCTGAATATCAGTGCCATTGGGTCTAATAAAGTAAGCATTCCTTTTGTCGTGACTTCCAGCTCTTTTTGTTGGTTTTTTTTTTTTTTTTTTTTTTTTCGTAATTTTGAACATGTGACAACAGATCAATGAACCAAACCACGTATAATGCTCAGAACACTCTCGTTGCTGTCCGTTTCCAGGTACAGGTCAGCAAGCCTTTGCCCACGCTGGATGCCAGGCGGAGACCTGCTAGGCAGAGACCTGCGAGTGAGGCTGTGGGCGCTGGGGGAACTCGCAGCCCGCGCATCCATGTCAGGAGATGCCCTTGGCGCCAGGCTGCTCGGTGCCACCTGGCCTGCAGGCCTCGCGCCGGCACCAGGCCGATGCGACCCAACGCGGCGATACAGGAAGCCCAGCTTCCTCAGCCCAAGAGGAGGAGAGGCCGGCAGGGCTCCCGCCCACGGGCGGCGCCTCCTCCCCCAGCTCTCCCTCCCGTGGGCCTCGTCGGCCGCCGTCCTCCCGCACCAGGTGAACGCGTATCCCTCCGCGGCGGCCGCCCCCAGCGCCAGGCTCGCAGCTCCGCAGTCCCCGGATGGAAACTGTTATGGCCGCCAACGGCGACCCGCCGGGCCATGGAGAAGGGCGAGGTAACTCCGCGGGGTGCGCGGGGCGGAGGAGGGCCGGCCGAAAGGCGGAGAGAAGCGGGCGACGGGAGCTCTCGTAGAGCAGGAAGCTGCGCTGGGGCTGACTTGTTAAATAGTCCCGCGCTCCCCTCAACCGTGGGAAGTTGGCAGTGCAGCGCGGCTCTGGCCGGCGGCGGGGCTGCGCGTAGCTCGCGCACCGGAATAACGCGTGGCAGCGCCGCCGGCCGCGCCGTGTCCCTCCGCCGAGCGGCGGCGCCGTGCCCCCGAGGTCGTGTGCGCCCCCGCGGCGGACGGGGGCGGGGCTGCCCCGGGGTTGCCCGGTGCTCCCCATAAGGGGGAACGCGGTCTGGTGGAGCCGGCGGCGGCTGCCCGCGGGTGGGTGCGCGGTGCTGGGGCTTTGGGAGCGGCTCGGGGACGTCGGGGCAGAGCCGTAGCGGGCCGTGTCCGAGTGCGGTCCCGCTCCCCGCAGGTGGATGGGCGGCGGGCACGGGTGGGGCCGGACGGGCGTGAGGAGCGATGTCTGTTCAGTGCTGGGAGGCGTAACGCCTCGCCGTGACGCTCACGCTGCGCACCTACGGAGCTCCGAGCGGTGCTGACTGCTGGGAGTGTGTTTGGAACTTCTGGGGATTTATAGTAAAAGTAGATGTAAAAAATCCTCGACCTGGGAGAGCTCTCACTCTCATTTGTTGCTAGGTTGAAGTGTACCGCTAAAGCCTTGCCTCCTTATCCTTTTAAAACAGACTAATACTGATGTATTGGGGCAGTTTTGGGGGAGGAAAGTTGAGGCTTGGGTCTCACGTGGTTACTTGTGCTCCTGCCTAGTGGTTTCTTTCCATATCAGTTACCTTTGGTTCATGCTTACAAATGAATTTACTAGATGTGCTTTATTATCCACATGTTCCATATATTATGCAGGTAATGTTTGTTTTTTCTTTATGTCTTTTGCCTATTTAGAGAATTGTAATAAGTTCTGTAGGAACGCTCTACGTTTTTTACAATACTTTTGGCTTAAGAAGAAGTCAATTTTTTTCTGAGTTTGAAGTAATGAAATAGCAGTTGCTGCCTTTTGCTTTTTTTAAGTGACTGTACATTTATACTTAGAACAGTTAGGAACATTTGAGAGGTATTTTTAAAGCCAATGTTATAATACACCTGATTAGAAGTTTGCTAGCCATGAATTTCTAGCTACAGCTTTAGAATTTGTTGTGTATTCGATGGTGTTCTCTCCTGGGAGTATACGTAGTATACATATTTACAGTTTTCTTCAGTGTTTTAAAAAACGCACTCACTGTGCCATTGGGAAGGATGTGTAAAATATCTGTCCTTTTGTTTCCAGACCACTTTTCAGTATTCCTCCTGACTGTGGCCTTTTCTGAGTCTCACCCCTACTATTTGTGTGGAAAAATGTCTAAAAGGCTGTTGAAGAATTGAAGTCATTTTTCTAATTGAGTAAGTCTGACTTCTACTTCCATAATGTAAATTTAAAGATCCCTGTGAATGACTGATGGATATTTATTAATTAGATGTCCCTGGTGAATTAATTTATATGCTATATTGCAGGTATTTGTCAGTAACTGCGTCCTTCCCAATAACAACAAAGTTTGATTCTAATGTGTGTGGTTGGTTGGCTGAAGATGATTTTTGAGTCAGGTTTGAATGTGTTCTCTTGAGCCTCTTTGTTGAACATAAATGTTTTACCCACTTAGGAGAGACCTCATCGGCTCCATGTTAAAAGCCTGCAGTGTATTCCTGCAGCCACTGCATTCACTTGTGATTTTCTTATAGTGTTAATTGTATAAATATTTCATATTTCAGTATTTGACAGTACAACAGAATGATAGATAGCTGCTATCAGGATGATACATTGTTTGATGCAGCCTGTAATTTTCATGTGTTGCATATCTGTATTTGAGAAGTTCTTCAGCCAAGAAGTCCAGGTTGTGTTTTGGTCACTTTGCTTTTTGTTTGTTATTTGTGAGAGTTTTTATATAAATATAAATATAAAATAACATTTGTTATTTATGTGAGAGTTTAACTTGCTCCTGTTTGCATAACAGATTTACTGCTGGCAAGAGGAAGGCATTATTATACAGTACTTTTTCCATGAAAATTGAGTATAACGTGGATGAGTTGTTCTGTTCTTATGGTTCAAGCATATCCCAGGTTTTAATCTCCTGTGTGGAAGACTGGAAATACATACATACACACACACAAATAAATATGTTTTATATATATAATGCATATATAAATATATCCTAGATCTTTAGTGTTTAATTTTAGTTTGCAGATATTCATAGCAAGTATGTGTATGTCTGTGGGTTGCAGTTTTTTGTTTTTTAAATGTAAAATGTAGTTAGAATCTTGCATGTCTTGTAACTGAAGAACACAGTTTAATTTTATCTAATATTGAATTCTGCATAAAGTGTAGATATGTTTTGGCTATCATTTTCAAGAATTACTTAGAAATGCCAATATATTTTTTGAAGGCATGTAATAAAGCATATGCTTTAAAAAAAAAAAAAGCCAAACACTTGTTTTACTTTTATTGCTGCTATGGTATGTGAGCATGACCTGGAAAATTTTTCAGTGTCCAGTTTGTTTCAGTTGGGTACTTACATGCTGAATGTTAGATACTTCCTTCTCACAGGGATATGGGAAAATATTTGGAAGACCTCAGCGGTGATGTTTATAATGGCCTGGAACTCTGAGGCAGCTCTTGCACTCCATCACAATGAGGGAGATGATGTGATCATTCTTGCAGTTTGAATGTGAATAAGGGAGATGATGTGATCATTCTTGCAGTTTGAATGAATAAACAGGGTGACCTAATGAGTTCCAAGTCTGTGTTGCTTATGGGTGGGCAAGGGAATAGCAGAGAGAAGGCTGCTGATCACATTTCAGCCAACACTTCACTAACTTCTGCTAGTAAAGAAAAGTGTCGCTATTAGTTCTTTATTATGGAAAACTAGTAAGAAAATACTGTTATCAGTAGGGAAGAAACAGTTCTTGTTCCTTTACAAAGTCCAGTTGATTTTTTTGGTGCTAGTCTGTTTCGTCTGATTTTATGTTGCCATGTGGGAGTGTTGTTTGAGTAGAAACTTGTGCATTTATTAACTGTGAGTATAGCCTCTAAAGAGAGAGTGATGCTTACCATACTGGTTTGAGCCTCTTAATCCATGGGGAGGTACTGTTGTCAGTCATACTCCTGTTTCAAAATGATTAATTTATATCCACAAACAGTGAGAAACAAAAGCTGACTTTATCCATTGATTGCTTCAGACTTTGTGATGCTATAAGTAGACATGTGAAATATTAATTGTGGATGATTGTGATTTCTTTATTTGTGTGTATGTAGATGTCATATCTCCATTAGTACACTGGTTTTAAAAGTAACTGTAATTCACTGTGTTTGTTTTCTAATTTCAGGAGAATAAAATGGGAAAGTTGTAGAACACTGAAGATTACTCAGCACAATAAACTTGTTTACTACAGGAAATAAGCCTAATCTGAAGAACTCACTTGAGGAAGAATAATACAAATGAAATCATGCCATCCGAACAGGACCAGTTTTCTCGTGATAAAAAGCAAATTAATTTGTTAAAACATGATGCTGCAAATAATCTTTGTACGGATACTAGTTTGGAAAATGCACTAGTGAATGACCCTTTAAATATGACTACTCGACCAGCAGTTTTGGATGTAAGTTTCTCCTGTGAACTGAAAAATGTAAAAATTGATTTACCCAAGGTGAACATTCCAAATGAAGTATTAATGAAACATGAAATTGATAAATTCAGAAAACTATTTCAGTGTAAACAGCAAACTGCAAGGAAGTCCTTAACTCTGGAGAAAGTAAACGTAAGCAATCTTGACTGTTCAGGGGGAAGCCATGTACGGAATAAAACAGAAGTGCAATTTGGAAAAGGGCTGAAAACTGTGGCTAAGATACTGCATTTCACTTGTACAAAGTGTGAGGACAATGTTAGATACAGCCCAAATGATCTACAAAAACATTTTCAGCTGTTACACTCTGGAGAGTTGCCTGTGTATCCTTGTGAAATGTGTAACTTCTCAGCTAATGACTTTCAGGCTTTTAATCAGCATAGACTCACCCATCGCAGCACTTTAGTAAAGTGTGAGCTCTGTCTTGATGAGCAGATGTACACTTTGTTGGATTTGACAAAGCATTTTACATCAAAGCACTGTGTAAATGGTCACTTCCAATGTGAAAAGTGTGGGTTTTCCACTCAAGATGTGGGCACATTTGTTCAGCACATTCACAGACATAATGGGATTACATATGAATGTGGCAAATGTCATCATATAAGCTATACAGAAGAGGAATTCCAGAGACATCATCTTGTCCATAGCGGTCTGATTCCTTTTAGATGTCAGTTTTGCAATTACAGCACACCACGGAAAGATTATATTTTAAGACACCTTATAGCTGTGCATAGAGATCATTTATGTACAAAAGAAAAACTGGAAAGGGATAAATGTGAAAAAAGAACACTGAAGACTCCAGCAGCACTAAAGCTTGTGTTAAGAAGGTATAAAACGGGAACATCGAAAAAGCCTCTTTGGAGGCGAAAAAAAATAATTGGTGGAAGTGACAAAACTGGAGAAAAAAATTCACAAGTGCTAAGAATTGTGAACAAAATTCAACCAAAATTGGATGAGTTCAACCAGTATATGAAAGTTGTGGAAGCAAATGAAGAAAAGGATCAAATTACATATACTGAAAAGAATTTCACAGGTGCAATGCATGCTGCTACTACTGCACAGTATAATAAAGCAGAGGATGGAACACGTTTCAGCCTTGGATCATTGAAAAATACTGTTCATGGGCCTGCAGTATTGATGATCAAAAACAATAAAATATCTGTACCAGCAAATTACAGTGCTAAATTTATGGGATTTAAAATTGTAGATGGGAAACAACATATTGTTATAAAATTATTACCTACGAATAAGCAAAACTTGCATTTGTTGGGTCAGAAAGCCGATCCTATTAAAGATTGCTCTACATCTCCTTTGCCACAGACTGCTGATCCTTGTAGTTTGTCTTCAGGTGCTATACCCCGTGTAACTGATCAGTCAACCTTTAAGAACAATTCCATTCACCCATTAACTTCTGTGTTTTTTTCTGCTCCTCATTCAGGAAAAGCAAAAGTGGAAAAACAAAATAACTCTTTATTGTATGGTAGGAGTGTTTCTCAAACTGTAGCACCTTCTCATGTAGCTGTAGGAAAAAATTCATGTAATTTGCCAATGAAGTTGAACTCTCCTGTATCTCCATGTGATGAGGTGACAAAAATTGGAACTCAAAGTAATATCTCATGGAGAAATTATGGTCCTTCAAGTCATCCTCAGGTATTATCACCTCCTGTTACGAATACACTATGCTGTGACCCTTGGAAAATACCCTTCTTTCCTGAACTGAAAATACAAAATGGTGGCCTGAACAATAATCACAGAACTAACAATCTGTATTATTCACCTTCCGTTGATTCTTCTAATGAAGGATTGCTGTCTTTTCATAATTATTCTAAAATGGACACTTTGGATAATCAGTGTAGCGTTTGGATGTCAACAGATGACAAATCTAAAGAATTTATATCCAGCCAAACAGTTAATTTTCAGAAGAGTGATGAGTCTGCAAGTTCATATTCAGACTCAGTCAAAGACTTAAAACTGGAGAACACTGTATCAGCCCAATCAAATATTAAAACTTATGGACACATAAACACTAAGAATAATGGTATGTCTCTTAACAGACAATCTAAATTTGTTATTGACAGGGAATATTTTGTGGAAGACCAGCATAATGGTCAACAATATTTGGATACTAATTTGCATCAAGACTTCACAAGCAAAGCTGGGGAATTCCCAGAAAGTGGATCTGATTGTGTTAATTCAGTTCTAATGCCCAAAATCATGTCTGTTTTCTCACTGCAGAGTGAACAGGCAGCTAATTATTTATCACCTGAAATAAACCAATTACTACAAGATGTGTTAAAAGTGAAAGCAACTCCTCAGCAAGAATCCCACAGCAAGTTGAATAACTGTGTAGAACTTCATTCTGACAAGCTGCTTTCCAGTCAAGAGAAAGGGAATAGAGCCTTTACACATTTAAAAAACTCAGCAACCACATGTAGTTTTCCAAGGCCTTCTACTAACGCTGACTTTCATTTATGTAAGAGGGAATTGAATACAAGATGTAGCACACGTGGAGGTTTGCATTGTGGAGAAGAGAGAAAGACACCCAGAACATACCTTGATTCCCAGGGAATGGATGTGTTATGCAGAACTGCAGATGGTGCTTTGCTTAAAGATGATACAGATGCATTTGTAACAGAGCGACTGGTAAAAGATAAAATGCAGTCTACAACTTCAGATCCTACCAGCTTTTCACCAATCCTTCGGGAACAGAAGAAAACTGTTTTAGTTCAGCCACCTCCATCAAGATTTTTTGTTCCTTTGCACCTTGCTAACCAGCCTGGACTACAGGTTGTTTCAGGAAAATCTCTTTTGTCAACCAGTTCATCAGATGATCATGCAACGAAACCTACGTCTTTTGCTATAAATAAAGGACCTGGAATGATTCTGACTTTTAGTGGGTCAATTGGAGCGGTTGCAAATGTCCCTAGTGATAGTTCTCAGGTTTTAGGCAGAGTTGCATCCAGAGAATATGGTAAAATAACCATACCAGCTTCAAAAGCGGATGGGAAGCATGACAGTTTCAGGAGTGTAAGAAGTTGCTGTAAGAGGAGAACATATAGTACAGCAAATGACTCATTAAATAGCATGTCATCCAAAGGACCACTTGTAATTACAAACTTATCGGAGTCATCTGTAAAAAGAACTTCTGTGAAAGCATTATCAGAGCATAAGGATGTTGTCTTTGGTTCAGAAGAGTCAACAGAACAACAGGAGATGAAAGAGAAACAGCATGTTTATGCATTTTTGCCTGATGGACAGCAGGCAGTTTTTCTGAAATGCATGACACCAAACAAGCCTGTAGTACATAAACGTAGTGTTTTTCGGGATAATGCTCATTATCAAAATTGTCAACCAAAGAAAACTGGAGTCATGCAACAAAAGCTTTTGCTGAAAATTAAGACTTCAGATATGCTGGCTGAAACAAACCAGTCAGTAAACAACTCAGTGCCCTCAGTACAGTCGGGCAGCTTACAGTCCCTTACTCCTGCACTAGCGCAGAAACAGACTGATCTTACTTCTAATGATGCCTTAATCTTACCGGGTAGGTTAATGCCAGCAAATGCCTCTTCGGCGAGTTCTAATCCAGTGTGTTGTATTCCTTCTGTAGAACCTGTGTATTCTACCAGAACTGCAGGGTCATGGTTGCAAAAAGGTTTTGTTGAGAGTACACAAATAATAACTGCTAACAGGAATAACTTTTGTAGTCAGAAGTCCTCATGGAGCACCCAAAACAGAATTGCTAAAGGAAAACCTCGTTTAAAACAGAGTGAGCCTAAGAATTCAGAAACTGTAGTTTTGCAAAGAAGCAAGAATTTCAAACGGAAAAATAAGGATAACTGCAAAGAACCTCCAAGAAAGAAAGTAGTGTTGCACAGAAAGTGTAAGGAAAAGAATCGAGGTGAAGTCGTTAGTGAATCAGGTGGCCAATACAGACAAAGAGCATCAAAAGATACTGTGAGGACTTTGAAACTACTTCCTTTTAATTCTAAACAGCTTGTAAAATGCCCTCGGAGAAATCAGCCAGTTGTTGTTCTTAACCATCCTGACGCTGATGTTCCAGAAGTTGTAAATGTAATGAAAACCGTTGCTAAATTTAAGGGACATGTTCTTAAGGTTTCATTGTCAAAAAGAACTATTGAAGCTTTGGAGCCAGCTTTCTGCAATCATTTGGACATAACTACTGATAATCTTTTTCAAAAGAGGCACAGGACAATAAAACCTATTAGCCCTGTAAAAGAAAGGTTTGTGTTAAAATTGACACTGAAAAAGACTAGCAAAAACAATTACCAGATTGTGAAAACTACCTCCGATAATACCTTGAAAGCTAAGTTTAGCTGCTGGTTTTGTGGTAGAATATTTGACAATCAGGATAATTGGGTAGGACATGGACAGAGGCATCTGATGGAGGCTACTCGAGACTGGAATTTGTTAGTGTAATGATGACCCATACCAATAAAATATCATGCATTGGGCCTTTTTAGAAAGAGATTCAAATTGAATTATGATACACAGATTGTTTTGTATTTCAGTATTGTAACAAGTTTAAAAAGTAAAGCAAAGTGCTTGTGTTTTAAAAGGAAAAGCAGATTCTCTGTTGCCATCAAGCTTTTAGAAAGATTGAGGAACTTTGTGGTTTAGGTAACTTGTAACTAACTGCAAATACAATTCCATACAAATATATATTATTTTTTGTTACTACTATCCTGTCCTATATTTTTATTCTATGAAATGAGTTTTCAGGGCTTTTGTTCTGTACATATTTTAAAAGATCTAAACTTGTAAATATTTTTATACTTTTCAGCTATTTGGTATAATTCTTGCACAGAAATTATTCCTTCCCCATCACCTTTTTTTTTCTTTTTTTCTTTTTTTCTTTTTTTTTTTTTTTTTTCAGATCTGTGCATGCACTACTAAAAACAATTTGAAAGAAAAAAAAATTCAGCTACACACAACTGTTCTCCAGGGGTTTTTTGTTGTTATTTTCACTTGTTAACTCCTGATTTTGTTTTTCAGGGATTGAACACTATTTTTAGCAAGTGCCTAGAAGATGTGAAGCAGTTAACATTATGTCAACTGTGTAACCATAGGTCCAAACAGGGCCATTTCCCCAATAATTTCATTTAAACGAAGCCATATGTGAATGCTTTAAGCTATATTGCTATGCACATGACACTTGTACTATTTCTCTGCAGTTTGTCTACTTTCTTAGTGAAGTATTTTTCATATAAATTAATAAAATGTTACAATTGTGTTAATACAGTAAGCGTGAGAATGAAATCAGTTGAAAATATACAGTATATATATATATATATTCTTAATGTATATGGTGTTTCAGAATGGTGAACATTCCTAATCTGTATTGACTCTGTCACTATTAAATTTGCTATAATTTGTGTTTACAAGTATGACTGTGAACATTTATAGAAAATACTTTTATTTTATTCTGTGTCTGTCACAGATCCTATAGGAAGGCTAATAGTGCAAAGCACTATTTCAGGCCTGTAGCCATTGTAATTTTATATATAATTTTTCCCCGTAATGATTATGTAGTATTTTTCTGCTGTTGCTTGTTCAGATGAGCTGCCTTTTGTTTTGCTAGAGATTTGGCAAAACCAAGGCTTCAGTTATTCTGTCCTTATTTTAATGATCAGTAGAGCAATAGTGTTCCCAGGAACCCAATTGCTTCATCTTTATTGTTTTAGAAATAAAGGAAGGAGAATATGCTGCTGGGCCATGGTGATGGAGAGTATACAAATGTGGGTTCTTATTACTCATGGTGTTTACTATATTTAGAGGTGAAATTCAGACTTATGTGGGAGTGTCCTTAGCATATGGCACCTGGTGTTTTTGTTAGCCTTTTCAAGCAGTTTAGTTCAGAGATGGAGCAGTTTACAATTCCCAGCTTCCCTTATATGTGATGGTGTGCCTCATCATGAAGACCGTAGGACATGACCAAGGAAAAGTTAGAGTAACTCTTACAGGTAACATCTGCAAGGTCAGATGGATGATTTTGAGGCTGTTTAGAGTGATGAACTAAACATGCTACGGAAGGTACTTTTATTTATCCAATGTGGTCCAGATTTTCCCTTTTTGAAGAATACAGGCAGTGTTTAATTAAAGCCAGCTTTATGGCTGTCAGCAGGCAAATGGAATTGGCAGTGGTTGTTTTGGCTGCGTAACAGTGCTGTACAGAACAGCAATGATAGCATAGTCACAAAATTCTGCCCAAGGGCTGCAAGGTTACGTGTTGTATGTGTAAGTCAGCTTCCCAGAGTATTGATGGAAAAACTGTCAGCATTGACAGTTATTGGTCTTGGAGAGGCCTGGATCACGGAGGCTTTAGTTTGTATGCAAGTGCAATTGCAGTTTTCAGTGGCTGTTAAGGTAAAAGTCAAGACTGATTGTGCTACTGCTGAAACAATGACGAGTCTCTTAGGGATGTCACTGGCAGCAGAGTTAGATTTTTTGAAAGAATTACTTCAGAAGATAGATTCTTGCTGTGTGTTGGCAGGAAGATCCACTCTAGCTTTGTAGCTAGTGAGATTTATATGGGAGTCAGATGAAGTACATGAGACAGCGTGGGTTGGGTGCAGTTGGTGTGTTTCCTGTATCAAAGTGGACTTGTTTTACAGTGGTGGGCTTGAGTTCTGATGTGAATTTGGCAAGGAGCTTTTAGAAATCTATTTTACTGTTGTTAAATTGTGTTAGAAATAAACACCAGTAGGAAAATACAAAAAAGAAGGTAAGAAGGACCTTCTAGCTGCTTCAGCTTGTTCTCCTGTAGCAGAGCCTTCACACTGAACCCCTGAATTCTGAGCTTTGCCATTGCCTTTCTGGGAGAAATATCAATGAAGTTTGTTTCTAAAATGCATTCACTGCAATTTCACCAAGGGTAAGCAGTTTTTGTTACTAGTTGCATAACACTGAGATAGAAATTCTGTTCTACAATTAGAAGGTTGTTTATATTGATTAATCATGAGAGTGACAACTGTGATTGGATTTTGTTTTTCCGCAGAACCTTAAACAATATCACGAAAAAGAATACTGTGATGTTAAAAATGCTGAAATAAGGTTGCTTTTTGCAATCTTAATTCATTGTCATGTGTCACTTTATCCATGGCCATCCATCTCATTTGTTGCAGAGAATTGTGATTAATATTTTGTTTCCCTACTCTTAGTTAAGTCTTTGCATAATTTAATGCATGTTGCCCAAGTGTTCTGAATATAGAGCCCTTTCTCTCTTATGATTTTTTCTATAATTCTTCATTTGAGGTCCTAAAAGTTTGGTACTTTTGCAGATCTGATTTCAAGGAATCTCAAGTTAGGCTTCCATGAAATTATGATCACAAAGATCATCAGCAGAAAATTGGCTTAAGCAATTTGAGTATTGCACTGGATGATGCAGCAGTAGATTCTCCAAAAACATGTTTAACTGCCTTAATAATACAAAGCTACCTTTCAGCTGCCTGACTCCTGTGGTATTTGTTTCCATATTATCTTCATTAAATGGGAAAGGTATCCTACAAATGTCCTTCAAGCAACATTACTTCCTTATACAACTGTGATTTATCCTGAAGTACCATACAGGAACCAAATAAAATACATAAATCCATATGGTAAAGTAGTAAACAATTGCATATTTACTGTGTATGTCTGTTTTACACAATTAAGGTTGCAAGTAACCTGATTTGAAGAGTGCTGCTTTTTGCTGCTTGACTTTACAAGCTATCTTAAAATGTTTTGATTGCAACATGTATCAAAATAAAAAAGCCTTAACTTGGGTACAGAATTTTGAAACATATAAATGAATCCAAGTGCAAGGTCAGTGTTTTTCCCTCTGAGGAAATGCTTTGTAAATATATATTTGGCCTGAAGTCTAGTCGCTTGTGTATTCTTTGCAAGATGTGTGCTCATTAGCAGATCATGGCTACTCTCCTTCAGAAATTTCAGTGTTTTAACAAAAAACTTAAGTTTGGTATTGTTCTGGGGCTGTTGTCATGTGAGATGTCTTATTTTTATTATTTTAACGACACTTCCTAAGAATCTGTGCCTGCTGCTGGTGTTTTAAATTGAAGGAAGAATATAGTTTTGTAAGTTGCATGTCTGAACATTTGGAATTTGGAGGATGCAAGTGCTCCTTTCGTGGAACAACACTGATAGGAATAATTTGCAGTATTCTGTATGTTCTCTGTATCAGGTAGGCATTCACCACTTTTAACTTTTCCTTTGTTTCTTTGCTAGTCACATAACGTCAATTGTTTGGAAGAAAAATTATGTAGTCATATCAAAGATGGAGAGAAGTTTGTTGCTGCGTCTGTCAGAAGTCAGGCTAACACCTGCTACTTGATGAAACACCTGCCAACACTAACTATTGGCAGCTGTGGGTACTTCACCAGCTGTAGGGGAAGCTTTCTGGGGCAGGATTTCACGTGAGCTGCCACTTTCAAGATTCAGCAGTGACTGCTGAGTCCATATCACTAGAAATTTTAACATAGCAAACTTCATCATCAGTTACTCTGTGGAAGACGATGTTGCCTTCTTACTCCCTGCCTCATCTTGTTGCTGAAAGTGTAAGTTACCCCCATAACAGCGTAGAAAATGGCTAGGAATAAATAAGGGTTTGCAGATGAATGTAGAGTTGAATGTTTATCCATAGCACATTTATTATTAATCATCCACAAAATTATGAAGTAGTGTGGAGCTCACTGGCAGTAGGAGCATTGCTTTGAGTATAGGAGGGACTCAGTATCACCAATTACCCTGAAAAATTTGGCATTTGCTCTCTCAAAAGGAAGCCTATCGTTCCATTTTTTTTATATCCTTTTTTTCCTCCTTTCTAGAATGATGGTGATGTTACACCTTATAATCAGAAAGAAGTGTAGGAAGAATGTAAGCACTTTTGGAGCCTCCTTTTGGAGGAGTGTTATATAGATGGAACAAGAAACTGGTGTGTTAAGAACAGTGTAAATAATGTGCAGTAGATGAATGAGTAAGGCAAGGACTCCCCCTGAACACAAAGTTAAATACTGAAAGAGTGCTTTTCCACAGAGTATTTTCCATTGTCATTAAATGCTCCCAGAGTAAACACCTACAAGGAGTAAATTAAGCTTGCAGAGACCAATGCTTGTCTTTTGTTAATTCTGAGATCTAGACTTCACAGTCTTAAATGTTTTAAACATTAGACTAGTTATACTGGTTTAATTACTATCACCTGAGCAATATACTGAACACAGTGTGTATGTAAGACTGTAAAGTAAGTGTCCTATAGCAAGCAGACCTGTGAAAAGTCTATGCATAGTTTCTTACCTGCTGGGCTTTCATTTGCATCACAGATGGAATAAGTATTATCTGTGTTGCAAAAGAGCATAAACAGCCAGGTGCTGCACATCACCATATTAGGAAGCAGTTATTTCTAGATGATTGGTGCATTACGTGAAGGTGTTGCTCAAAGCTTCAGAGAACCAGCTGCATAATACTCTCTGTGTAAGTGACTTTTTGAGACCTTGCAAGTCCATGCTGAAGTTTGCCTCAAATGCCTTGTGGGTGAACTTAAAGAACACTGTCTAATTTGGAAAACAAACAAAAACAAACAAACAAAACAACAACAGTGTTTCAATTTTGGAAAATATCTGTAAGATAGATGAACTGGCAGGTCAAAGGAAATCAAACACCTTTGGAACTAATTAACCATTACTGCTAGGAATTTTTTTACTAGAGCAATTATGTATTGATAAATTTCATTTTAACTACTTGATCTTTTGTGAAAATGACACTGCTGTCAATAATGCAAGAAGTAAAACACTCTGATAGATCAGGCTTTTTTGTTGTTATCTCTAAATTAATTCTGCAAGAATTGAGTTGGTATTTAGTTTGGCAATGTGTTTGGGCCTCCAACAATAAAAACAAAAGATTGAGAGCTATTAAGTCAGATATCTGTGTTAAAGCTGTAAAAACAGTTGTTGTAACAACAGGAGGCTTGTGAAGGAGCTCAAAAAAATTTATATAAGAGACATCCACGACAGTGAGTTGATGCTTTTTCACTGGAAGGATGCTAAGAAAACTCATTTAGCAGTGCTTCTGTACACAGTTGACTTTACAATATTTAACTTTATTTGCACATTTGAAAAAACAAACAAAAATATTAATGAGAGAGTAAAGCTGAAGGAAGGACAACATGTCCATTAATCTAAACCATTGACAGCTTTATTGCTGTAAAGCTTTATTCATGTAAAGCTTTATTCATGTGAAGTACAGTCTCA